AACTTAACCTTCCCATCTTGTGCATCAGCTGGAGGTGTCACAAAGGGTGAGAACATCAAGTATGATGTTCTCAAAACGTATGTGCTAGTAGCAAGAAGCTACTCAAACGTCACCACAGGGCATTACTACGAACGGAGCGATCGGACCCTACGAACGGGGCGCATGTCCTCGCATGTCCACCGAACGGGGCGCTCCGAGACACGACGAGCGCGAGAGACGACGCCACCAAAGGCGGTTCCTTTTGCTCACCATGATGCTCTGATGATGAGCATTAACAAGAACACCTCCCAAATGGGCCCAGCAGCTAAGCACTATACAACTCAACAGAACTCAACTGAAAATGGAACTTAAGTTTCTCGGACCATGGACTGAACAGAGTTCAGCTCTTGACATTCGGCAGTAGGCAACCCGCCCCATTTCCTGTCGTCCAGCGATCCAGTTCCGTTTAACCCACACCAGGGCACGGCATGGTGGATAAATAATGCTCCAGGAGCTCGGTAATATTGCTCAAAGGCAGGAAGTGCAACACCTGCACCGTGCAGTCTACCGTGCCATGCGCGCCATGTGCTACGTGATCCGTGCGCGAACGGGACTTGCGAACGGGACTCGCGAACGGGACTCGCACTTAGAGCAGTGTGACCCAAAAAGCACGGAAAGGACTGCAAAAAAAAGACACTCCCTCCAACATCCTGTTGAGAAGAAAGAATGGACTTCCAACCTCTCCAAGTTCAAAAAATAGGGTCGCCACGATCGACACCCACAATTACAGCACAGCCTTGGAGACCTCGCGCTCTTTTCCGACCGACTGCTGCTCACCGGCGGGAACGGCGGCTGCGGGCGCCGTTGCGGCGGCCTTCCGTGACCTGCGAGGGAGTGCCGAGGGATGTGAGAGACGGACTGCCCGAAATGCTATGTCGGCTTAAAAGTGTTGTCGTTTATGACATCATTGATGAGCTTTTCCCCAAAAAAAGAAAGAACACCAAGGGTTTTCCCCCCCTGGACTGGCAGCCGCGCCAGGAGATGTGCGCTTTGCAGCTCATTGGCATCCACACTGGACTGGCAGCGGCGCCTAGAGCTGGTCACCGTGGGTCCCAGCGGTGGTTACTCGTTACTCACACGTCGGTCTGAAATGAACGCATGTAGTTTTTGTTTGATATTGTCCGTTAAAAAACAATGATATGTAATGAATTACAAATTAAATATGCCAAACATTGTCAAACATTTAAAGAACGGCATAAAACTAAGCGTTGTCATTGTTGGGATTCATCCTGTCACTGTAGACCACAAACAAATAATTGTGAAATAACTGCAGAAAGCTCACATGTGGCATGATTCCAAGCAAGCAGGCACATGTAGGTATCGTCAAGGCAGTCAAAAGAATCAATCCTGAGGCTCTGCATGGCGCATACCCCAAGTCCCTCAAGCGACCCTTTTTCAGTGGTTTTGAAAGCGGTCTCAGGTGGCTCCTGTGTTGACGAGTCTTTCGCTTCGATGTGAACCGAGGAAGGGAGGAAGCATAGGAAGCGTTGTCCGAGGAACCATGGATCCTCACACCGAACACCGGTGTTCTCGTCTGTCACCGGTCTCTCTTGGCATTAACCGCTTTCGTCAAGGTCCTCAGCATACAACAGTTCAGGAGTTGCGTGGACACCAACCATTCATGTTGATCAAAATGCCTTTTCTCATCTCTCCTTACATTTAGAAAAGCAACTGCCCAAAAAGGTTTTGCATGTTATTGCGGGTTTGGCGCTGAAACATGCTGAAACCTTCCTCCCCCAAAAAAAATTGACAGGTGCTGAGGAGATGCAAAAAGGACACGCTCAATAAATTGCAAACAATCGTCACCTCCAAGTATCTATAACTTACTTGAAGCATCTTGAAGCGCTCTTCCCACACGCAAACGGTCCGTTCACCGCACCGGCTCTGTCAGGACACCACGTTGAGCGACCGAACCGTGCCTCATTTGGAGGAAGAGCTCCAAGTCTTTGATCTCTTGCTGCAGCTCGGCCACTTCACCTCGTGTCAACACGAACACGGCGGAAAAAAAAGCTCCAACTGCGGCGTTTCACGGAGCGCAGCTAGCCTGAACTGGAGGCTTCTGTGGTTCAACGGCGGTGGCCTGATGTCACATCGTCGTGTGCCACTCATCCCACCAGACTCGGTCGAAAAAGGCAAAAAACAAGAACACACACAAGGAATTGCAGTTGATGATGGTCTTGGTGCATTTGATTTTGGTTCTCTCTTTGGGATGCTTTGATGATTGCATTTTTGGTTAAAGATTGAATGATTTGCGTGCCAATGCCTTGAGCATTCTTGCAAATCTCTTTGGAGTTGTGTGTGAAGCTCTCCCTTCTGGATGTTCAACACTAATCCATCGGGTGATCAACCAGTCGATTCTTAATTGAAAACCCCAAGTGCCAATATTATTGAGGGATCAGGACAAGACTTCTATCCAAAACCAATTCTCATTAACCCTGGTCGGGGTCGTGCGTGGGTGGGTTGGGGTGGGTGGGTGGGCCAGCGGTGGCTGCTGGTCGTGGCTGCTGCCGGCGCTGCCATCAGCCTGAGAAGTGTGCCCCGTCAGCAAGAGGCATGGAGGACCGTGGAGGGGGAGGAAATTGGTAGTTTGGGATCCAAAGCTTGCAAATGGCTCAACCAAATGATTAAGTGTAAATACATCTTAGGATGAGGGGCATTGGTTGAAATCTTTTGAATAATAGGATTGCTTTTATTTTGTTCCATCCCATCAATGTCTTATCAGTCTTGTGATCCATTAAAAGCACCAATGAAATTCATTGGAACTGGAACCACTGCCTTTGTTGTTTTATGATGTAACACATTGCTCCAGCCCGGCCAATAAGGTGCCACATTGAATTGGCCTGGTGTCCCAGACTGCTTGGCTGGGGTGGAGGTTGATGAGGTTGGGCATCGTTGGACTGCTTGTTGGGGCATTCTGTGAGTTTGTTTTCTTTTGGCATCGTGGGACAAATGGGTTGTATTCGAATCTAAAGATATCGAAAGGACCTTTCATCCTAATGAATCATGGTGCAAAAAAACATGTCCATCAAAGATGCCACTTATCATATGACCAGGCTTCACGCAGGATCAAATGTCCTTTTCATAATCATGTTTCAGGATCATGATGACAACTGGTCATCTGCTACACATGTTACCAGTGAGACCGAACCACTCACTTGACCTGTGACTTGGCTGCTAGCTGGGGCCCAAACACGGACTTAGACTGCACGTCAATCATGATGGATTTGCCACCTGATGATGAGGGGCCGAGGATAGACATGGCTCCAGGTGCCATGCAAATGGTACTCGACAGTGCTTCGGAACTCGTTACTCCAGCTCGAAAGCCTCAGCGGTTGCCAGATCTTTCGTAGCTTTGTCACTAACCTCTCAGTCTATTTTCCTGGCTTTACCCAGAGAGTTCTCATTTGGGGCAACATGTTGGCAATAGGTTGACTTTTACCACATCAGTCAGTCATTTAATTGCTACTTTTGGCCATCGAGGACTCCCCAAGACAATAAGATTGGTTGCTGCAAGAAGGGCTGTGTTGCGAGTTTCCGGACAAATCATCACAGACTGCGTGAAGCTGAAGAAACTTGGCTCAATAAACTTGGGAGCTGATTTTTCTGTCATTTTTGAGTCTAAACTTGTTGTTGCCCTTCAACTTCCCAACAGTTTTGTTGCAGTTACAATCTTCTCTGGGTGAGGGCCTGCGCGAGAAGATCCAGACCATGAACCAGGAAGAAAGCAATGCTTTCATTCTGGGTCTACTTCAGAAGCTGCCGGTCAAGGAGACCAAGAATCCCGAAGCAGTTTCTTCAGTGAAACCATGGTTCAAGTTTTTCTTTGATTTTGGTATGTTTTATATCCATACACTCACAATGATCTTTCTATGTTGAGGTCTTCTTGTAGAAAGAATCTCTGTTCACCGTACCTCAGGTTTCTTTGGACTTTGCGGTGGCTGGCTTTGGCATGTGTGAGAGTGCCTTCTGCATGCTCCTGGGGGTCAACGAGAAAAGGGTTCCTTGTTTGGAATCATCCCTTAGCCTTGTGCAGCAAATTATATTCCATAGATACGAAGTGTCTCATTTTTTTCAAAAAAAGGGTTCATACCCAGGCCCAGCATCAACCATGAAAGAAAAGGTTCAGGATGTTAAAGTCTAACCATTTACATAAGGTTAATCATCCACTCAATGTTTCACCCTTTTTTAAGCCAGTCCTGTCAGGTCCGAAGGCTGAAGCTCGGCTTGGGAACAAACAATGTGCCTGTTGACAGGAGGAAATACAATGGCAAGGTGCCAGGTGAAAAGGCTTCATCCGTTGACAGCTTCTTCAGCTATTGCTACTGGAACATGGCATCTTGTTGTTGTGAAAGTTGAAGCCTTTTCTTTCTGTTGAAAGCTTTCCTTTTGTTGTTGAATTTGGCTAGTTTCTGTGAATTGAGGTCCTTGTGTTCAAAAGATTTGGGGTGTCTGAGGCAGAGCCCCTTGCTGAGACTGAAGCAGTTGAAGAAGTGACTGGTGCAGCCCTCTGTGCATCTGGGTTGTTCCTTCCACGTCCCTTCCCATTCATTCAATAAATTGTGCCTTTGGGGTTTGTTTGGGATTCCTTGATGGAATATCTAGAATCAGAAGCCATGCATTCCAAGAAGTCTATTCCATGTGCCATGTTTCCCAAAGCTGTGGCATTCTATCTTTCCATCCAAGGTGCTGTGGATTCGGATCTTCCAGCGAATCTCCTTGACAACACCATTGCTCCCAGCCACAGTGCCCAGACCTTTGCGCAGGTCAATGCTGTGGCTGCGGTGGAGATGATGGCCCCGGGCAACAAGGCATTGGGTGGCCATGAGGCTGATCAGAATGAATCTTTATTTTGCAACTCTTGGTAGTAGGTGAAGGTCCAAAAACAAACTGTTTAATCCAACATAATAAATCATTCCAAAAGTGAGGTATGTCCCCGAGACACATCCAGCACATGACCATGGATGCCTTCTATGAGTGGTACATCATGTGGTGCAATGGGGCTGACATTGCTGAGTCAGACCGGTGCAAGCAACGACGGTTTGTTTACATCTATGAAGAGCGATGGCAATCTGTTGTTCAAATGCGGCATACATCTCAACATGCCAGGCTGGTTGTTATTCTTTGAAGGGATAAGAAAGGTTGAAATATATTTGTTTTGCAATTTAGAATCTGTGGCTACCCAACTCCCTTTAAACCTATTGGCATCTTATGTATGTTTCTATTGGTATACATTGGAGGGTGACAGTGTTCATGTGAATGGGGTGTAACTCATGACGGACTCCACACTTAGCAACACTGAAAGTGGCCTGCTCTTACATTGGAAAAAAACAACCATCCATCCCAAGGCAACTCTGGAAGACCAATATCTCAACCATGGCAGGTGCACACAATGTGCCAAGTTCACAGAGCGCATCAAAAATTCCTTGCTCCAGTTGGAACGGGATGCTTTACACAAGTGCCAGGCTGTGCACATCAGGAACATCAGAATGTTCCGCGATACACAAATGAGATTGAACATGTTGTCGGAGGAATCAACCAATGGGCAGGGGACTGGGGCATCCATTCTGAAGGTGGATATCGACGCCCTAGACCAAGCGAAGACCAGGTACCCTCGGAACATGGTCAATGCCAAGAGCCTATCTGGTGTTTGGCGACCCACTGCACATGTCATTTGTGCAATAGTGCATGGCGATCCTTGGTTCCAAATTTGTATTGATTCAGTAGTTAGATTGGACTCCGAGTATTATTGGTCCTATTTGTAGGTTGACAGGACAAATACACACCTCCATCCCACCTCCATCCACGCTTGCCCTGAGGTAGTGGAGATATACTTCATAACCCCACCTGACCTGCCAAAGGACTCTAGCACAGAGCTGACGTGCTTGTTCAGGGCCTTAGATATGGCCCACGAGATCCTCACAGCTCGTGGATTAGATTTCCCACAGCATCTATGCATTGAGGCGCTTGAAGTTCAAAGAATTGGTTTGTATTATTTTTGTTTGTTTACTGATTCTTTGTCTTGACTTTGGCCATTGGCCTCGCTTGTTCAACCCTTCCAGACGGACAACTGTTGCAGAGAGGGCAAAAAATCAGATTGTTGCCAAAGCGAGTGCTTCAGCAATAATTTCTGGCAGGTCCCTGGACTCAAGAAAAAACATAATGAATCCTTTTTTGGTTGAATGATTTGTTTTGTACTAAGCCCCTGAACTATGTGAGGTTCCTGCTACCTTCTAGTCTCTCTTTGCCAATTGTTTGAGGTTCCGCTCTGTCACGCACACCTTCGGAGAGGTCGGGCACACTCACTCGTGTGTGGACCAAAGGCTGAGCATTGTCACAAGTGCCTTCACGAACACGGACGTTATCCAAGAACCGCAGGCCTGACTCAGACTCACTCTATGTTAAAAGCTGGTCATGAGCCTCATGGTTTTAAGACTTCAATGTGCAATGATAATACCATGTTTAGACAGGGACATATAAATACTTCCCAATAACAAGTCTGTCAGTTTCCATTTGTCAAGATTGATGGGTCGATTCCTTTCCTTGCAGGACTTTGTTGACATCATCAAAGCCAAGGTCCAACCATCCCGGCGCCGTGAACTCCGGGCAGAAGTGCTTGAGGGGGGCCCACAATTGGCAAAAGTACTATGACCAGTATGGGGTTTCTATTTCTGGCCTCGTTCCAAACCCTAAAGGTCAAGAAACGGAAGTCAATCATTGCTGGCGGTTCATTCGGAGAGCTGAACCCTGGATGTGAGAATGGCTAACTTCCCTTTTTCTGAACCCATTTCAATTAGACCACATCAACCATTATTATAGCCTACCAAATTTCTCTGTCTCTGAGGACCTACCACTCTATGATGACAAGTCTGGAGATTCATGGTCTCCAACAGAAATTCCTGATGAAGAGCCTTGAACTGATACACTGCTCAAATCTCCAAACTGTCTTTTTAAAGACTGTTGCGGTGGTGGATGTAACCAAACATGATGGTCCTGGTCATGTGCGTTAGGTGTCTGTTTTTCATGACAGTCTGCTGGTGTGCAGGTTAATTTTGCTTAGATGCAATGTCCATTGACATCCAATGATGAGGTCTACAACTGCTCTGAGACTGATTGTGTGCTTTTGGTCAAGCAGTTGGTCAACTCTGAATCTTTGTCGCAGCCACCTACAGTATGCCTCCCCGGGGACTTTGGTAAGCGATTGAAAGCTCCCTTGGAGGGCCTTCCCAGGAATTTGGTTTCAGACCGTGCCAAGAAAGAGTTCCTGTTCTTGGATATTTGTCATTTTCTTTCTATGGAAATTGCTAATATATATATATATATATTTATTTTAGCTATATACATTTTCACAATTATACATGATATATCTATAATCTCTTGTCCCTGGGCTGCCCATGACCCCAAACAGCCAAGTCACATGTGGCCGCTTGCTCATCTCAGGTTCCTGAAAACAGCTGATGTGGTGGAGAAGGAGCCCTGGAACCTTCACCGTGCAGCTGGTGCTTTGCGGCACTGGGTGGATCTTTGCCTAGTATTATGTTTCATTGGTTCTTTTCCACTGGCTCTGATGGCGACAACGAGGTCAACAAATAAGAACGATCAATAACTGGGCTTTACATCAACATTAATTTGAGAGTCAAACAGTGGGTTTTTGGTTGTCATGCTTGCAGCAGCAATGGTCTCATCTTTTCTGACATTCAGTTCAACCATCAGCTTTGATGCCAATTAGGACCAGAATGACCGACAAGAATGGCCTTGTATTCCTGAGCCACAGTGGTGGTTTGCGTCCAGGACAAGACCACTTGGTTTGGTCCCCAATCCTGAAGGGTGACTTGGCTGTTGACATGTGTATTCCATGACCAGTGAAACTTTAAACAATATCTATTGTTTTTCTGGGTGATGTGGATGCAATGTTGGACATAACAATGTGGTTTTAGCTCTTTCAACGTCATTGTCATACTGTTGTGGTATGATGTGATGATAAACCTCACCACTTTCAACCAGTGAGTGTCTGAGTTCTGGCTTTGCCTATTGATCCTATTGAGGTGGCATCGATTTGCCCCGGGACCAGTTCGTGCTGTCATTGTTGAGAAAGCCAAGCCCAAGCCTGCTCCTGGTCCAAAGGGTGAGCCCAAGAGGCGTGGCCGAAAGCGAAAGAGTGAAGTTGAAGGTGAGTCGGGTGATGCTAGGGGAGCAGAGGAAATCTTTGATGGGCGATCGAATGTGGCCAGGATTTCCCCCCCACCTCCACCAGGACCAGATGAATCCCTTTTTGAAGTGGAAGAGTCAGCAGAGCCCATCCCTACAAGAGCCACCTTTGCTGGACGGAGCAGGCCAAAGGCTGAACAGGGCCAGCGTGACTTTGATCAACGGCGCCAGATGTACTATTCAATGGTTCCATCCAGCTTTTGGAAGGATCATTTTGAAAGGCAGTATTGGGTCAAATGCTCCCAATGTCCCACGATTGATGATGCTATCGCCAGTTTCTTAGATGATATTGGTGTGAAACCTCAGCCACCCAGCTCTCGGCCTGCAGCCAGGGCTCCAAAGGCTCAGGCGAAGGGAAAGGCAGCGGCAAAGCCAAAGGCTAAAGCCAATCCTGGTCGTGGACGATCTCGAGGGCGTGGGCGTGGGTGTGGGCGGGGCTTGCCTGTCCGCTGAGGGTTTATGCTTACTTAGGGGTTTTGACACAGTCAGTTGGCTGTGCTGGGGAGATCTTTGTGGATCACCTACTTGTCCACTACAAGTACCAATCCTTAGATGGTGGCAGTGTGACCACTGCCATAGCCATGATGGCGAGTTTGGCAAACTGAACCAGCAACGCTGGAAAAGAAATTGTGAGAACGTTTGCGGAGGGCGGGAGGGCTTGAGGGGTTCTGAATTTGAGATCCCCTTTCACTAGTAAAGTCCAATGTGATAGTCGTCACTTTACAGTATTGTAATGCTATCCCACTACCATCCCAAAAGCACCATATGTACAAGGGCACAGTTCCAGCATAAACCCTGGTTTCATGAGACATGGCACTTAAATAAATCCTTGTTTCATGCGCTGCTGCAGGACCAGGGACATGCTGCTTGGTAGTAATCAAAATCAAATCCATTAGTGACAAACCATACTGACTAAAGTCCACTGGCTTGAAAAACCAAATCCATACAGACATTGTTTTCTGATGTCATACACAGTTACTACAGTTGCTCTCAGTTCTATAGATTTCAGCCCCATGCCATTGGATCTTCCTGCCGCTGACTCTGGACCCAATGTTACTGCAAAATCAGTGACCAAGAGTCAAATGAAGCGCCCTGCTGCATCAGCCAGAACGAAGAGGTCTGCCAGACCTTCCTCAGCAGGGACATCCAGTGGTGGATTGCAGCTTCCTCCAGATGATTTTGGTGTTGGCGACAGTCTTTTCTTTGACACTGTTGATGATGGGACTGGTTTTGATGAGTTGTTGGGGATTGGCCCAAAGCAGTCACCTAATTCAGTGCTGGTTGCAAGCCCAGAGGAAGACCTTCGGACTTTTGATGATCCAACGTTGAAAGCAGCAGCTTCTAGGATTCCTAGTGTGGTCTTCCACCCCTTCCGGGACCTTGATAGCACACTGGCGTCACCGCCACCATGTGATCCAGATTTAGTTGATACATTGTGGGAAATCTATAGTGTGCCACGCCTTGGTCCAATCATGAATCAACTTGGTGGAAAGTCTAGGAGATCCTATGATCTCAAACATTTCTGGGATTTGAGAGATGCAGCCTTTCAAAGATGCCTTCTCACTGACATCTCAATCCTCAGACCTTTGGGTGTTATGTTGAGTCCACCCTGCACCTGTGTGTGCCAACTCATGCACAGCAACTGGAGTCGGATGGATGCTAAGCAGCGAGTTTTGAACCTGGAAGATGCCTGCCTACACATAGACCTTTCAATGTGGATTGCCACATTCCAATTGGATCATTCCCGGTACTTCGCCTTTGAGCACCCTGGAGGTAGCTTAGCATGGGACCGTGAATCCGCAACACAGAAGCATTGCAAATGTTCTTTTTGGGTTTGCTTTGACATCCCTACTAAGTGATGTAATCCTTCCTTACAGGTTGGCAGGGCCATGATGCAAGAAATAAATGCTTGTTCCAAATGGGTACAAATTGAAACAAGCCAGTTTTCCACTCCTGGGTTTGCGCTGCGCATGTGCGCGCCCAAAGCGCCCCCAAAAAGCACCCCCAAAAAGTGTGCGTGCGCGTGTGAACCCAGATTCCCTTTCCCAAGATGAACCACTGTCACCATGCCTCCTCAGGTACAACGTGTACGACATCGTCCAGGGGTTCAGTTGGCAGTCTTCGATCAATGCCAATTTGGATTGAGATCCATTGTTGCCCAAAAACCTATTAAGAAAAGGACTTTTGTGCTCACAAACAGTGAGCATATATTCAAGACGTTGGATGGGAGAACCTGTCCTGGCGACCATCAACACCAGGTAATTCAAGGCTCCGAAGGTGGTAGAAAGAGGTCTGAGGCAGCCCAGGAGTATCCACCATCATTGGTGGAAGCTCTTTGCAAAGGGTTCCTGGCACAACAGACTGATTTGCGACAGTAAAAACAATTGCTGCTGCTGGAACAGAGTGTGCCACCAGCATATGAAACATAAAACCAGTACCTCTCACATTGACAATCTTTCATATGTCTAGCGCTCTATGTGTGTATTGTGTGTCACTGCACATTATGCTTTCACCTTAGCAATCTTTGTAATGTCTCACAAGTATAGTATCATAATATCATCGTTTTGTTTGTTTGTCTTTTCTATTTTGTTAAAGATGGTGTTGCAACCTGTTTGCCATTCAGTCCTTGGTCATTGGTTTGGCTTTTGAATGGAATAACTTCTTGTCGTCTTGGTTTGGGGGGGTCAACGTTTTGAAATGCACTGGATTTGGGGAGGGAAGTTCTGCGGGTTTCGATTGAAATCGGCGGAAATCGCTGTCTCATCGACCGGAATCAAGTGCATCTGAAACAATCCCCAATCAAGTGCACTTGTAAATCTTTAATTTCAGAATTCCCATTGCAGATCTCACATGATAAATTTCAACATGTCAAGATGTGCAGATTTCAATTGAAGTCTGCACATGTTCATAATGGAGAGTATGTGATTGCAGAAGTCTGGTTCATAAAACCATGACCCCTCCTTCTGCTGTGGTGTATAACTCCTTATGAACATCTGCTGACTTCAATTGAAAGCTGGAGATGTCAGGAGCTTTGAATTCAAAATATAACTTCTGCAGGATCAACTTTTTACATTACCTTTTTGATTGGGGCCTGTAGATTTTGGCTGGAGCATTGCCTTCACGATTGGCCGCCATGGAGCTGCCTGATGAGGAGTTTGCACCCTCCACTGTGATGATGGAAGATACTTGATATCAAATACAATAGAAACATCTATTTTAGAATTTTAGATTAGTCTAATTTATGTGGTTTGCATCTGGTCCCAAGCCCTTTTAACATTGGCAACCCCAGGATGAGCCACCTCCAGCCCCAGAATCTCCATTGATGATCGATGAAGAGATGTTGAAGCCTGATGTGAACCCCGGCGCTGACTCTGATGCTGTGTCAAGCTGGGGAACAGGAACAACCACAGCTTTAGCAGCTATGGCAAAACCGGAGGATGGGTTATGGGATGCCATCAACGACCGTATCAAGAGTCCTTAGGCTACCTATTATGGAAGTTTCAATGGATATATGGTTTCATGTTGTTTGAACCCATACTATGCTAAACATACTCATATCTTATGGTTTCAATTTTTGTTATATCAATGTGTGTGGTATCTCACCTTTGGATTGGTTTCACTGGACCCTAGTCTGTTGATCTCTCATTGCTGAACAATCGATTCAGGTGCTGGAGGTGTCCGTCAGTACATCTATTCCAAGTTCCCACTTCAATCTACGCGGCCTAGTGAGCTGGGTGCACTGCTTCAGAAGATGGTTCCTATGGTGCCATGTGAAGACTACTGGACCTCATTTCCAATCCCATCGTGCCTGTCAGGTGGCTTAGTGTGATAAATGAAGTTTTTGATGGTTTCCTCAATTCAATTTGATGGCATCACCAATTCAAAAGCAAGGTTAAACATTTCTGGTTCAAGAATGCTCTAAACCATCATCTAAGGAAAAGAGGATTCTGTTGAGACAATGATCGTCCCACTTCACCTTTTCTCTGTTGACTATGCAGCGTCTTTGAGAGAACCCCCGCTCTTGGATGTCTCCCTGAAGTTGTTGGGGCAATTTCAAGCTGATGGGTTTGTGTCTAGCACTGAGCCTGTACTCATCAGGATCCAGGACTTTGGCTGGGTGTGAGGGTGTTTGAAGGCATGATGAAGTTCATGGTCTACATTACTATAAATAAAGATCTCAATTCCACATGGATGATTGGTTCCCTGATAGGACTCAGACTTGGCATCGAAGGGACCAATCGCACTAGGCACCATTGCCTACCTGAAAGGTGCAGCCAGGGTGCAAACAGCCATTGCATTTGTGGTCGGATGTCATGAACTTGGTGTTGAGGCATGCCTGGGCCAAAGGACCAAAAGCTGGGTCACTGGCAAGTTCAACATTCAAAACGTTCCTAAGATATCGTTGTGGCATAGTTTTATAAAATATATTTACTTTGTGAAATCTTTATGACCTATATATCCCAACAGGTGCCACCAATTATGCTTCGTGGACTGCAAGCAATCCGATGCAAGCATGTAAGATTGCCTGACCGGCAGTCAGAGCTGTAACTTGCTGTGGGTATTCAATACTCAACAATTTTTCTGGTTTCACAGTTTTAGGTTTACTGTACTATGGCTGCAACACTGTCAGCATAAACTTCTGTTTTGCTGCAAAGCAAGGTTCTACAACATGAAGATCTCTACTCGTGGGAGCATTAGGAAAAGCCCAAATGCTATCAGTTGGGTCTTCTCGATTTCCAACCTTGCCGCTATGAACAAAGGGATCCACCCAGAGCAGCTGATCAAAGCATGGTCACTTTGTCATTGCTGCAGCCAAACTGTGTATTTGTTTCACAGTTGAAACAGTCTGAAATACAGAATACATGTTTGATCTGTTCAACTCCAGTCACTGAGGAATGCAGAAGCTGCAAAGCAGGACCGCTTGGTTGGAGCCAAGTTTCAATCGGTGAAGGTGGTCCTCGATCTTCCGCAGAGGCTCCGCGATGAGATCTTGCAGGCAGTCAGCGTGTGGGGTTGGGATGGCCGCTCTAACCTGGCTAAGTTGTATGTTTTGTTTGTTGGATTCCCATGTTTGTTACCTTGTTCAAAGGTTCTGGATGTTTTATAGATCCTTATGTTTGGGGGTCTTCCACTGAGGATGCCCATACTCAGATGATGCCCTTTCCAGCAAGAAGTTGTTACCTGGTTTCAACTTCCGGTCTGCCAAGACACAAAAGTCCAGCCCATGGTACCAGCGATTGAAATCAACTGAAGCTAGCACTTTGCTGGGGTTGCAAATGGTTGCATCTCAATGGGGAGCTTCTACAGTTCAACTCCGACGGAAGCTTACAAAGAAGGAGCTGGAGGAGAAAGTAATGGTGGCCAGCCTTGCGTGCTTCTAGTCACTTCTAAGTGAATCTGTTTTAGAGGGATGGTGACATTAAAGTCTTTATGATTCCTTTCAAAGTTTGGTA